CTTTTGGAATGGCTTTGATTATAAGTTTATATGTTTTTTGATTTGTTTTTAGCTGTTGACACAGAGCATCATATGATAACAAGCAGCCATTACTGTTAACTAAATGTAACACAGACCAAATCCCTTTTTCCATCCAATCCTTATTAAAAATTGATTTGTTTTTAACAGTAATGTAGCGATTGTTCCAGATTGGTGAGTTATGTGGAGTAAAATTGTGATTGTATAACATTTTCCAATATAATAACACTTGCTGATGAAAACGTGACAGTTTGACAGGAAGACGTTGAATAATAAAATCACAACTTAAAAGAAATTCTATTCCACCCATTTTTTCAAACAACATACGTGGTATATGAAACCACAGGTTATTTTCTTTAAGGCATGCTTTTAACCAGTGATGATTATCTTTATATACAGAACCTACAGTATCTATACCTATGTCATCTGACTTATGGTGTCAACTTTTGGACTTATGGTGACAAATGTGTTTTCTTTGTTTGTTTGTTTGTCACCATAACACAGTGTCATTTTATTTTATGAAGGTTGCATGATGCTCTGTGTTTGGTTCTGAGTAGGCCTATCACTAAATCAGAAAAAGTGAATCACCCCTCTAAATTCACTCAATTCAGTGGGTAAAATTTAAAATGTTAGTTTTAAACATGCAGTTGAGGGTCATCGTTATTTGGCACAATGACGTGTTACAATTAAAAATAAACCAATAATATAAAAAATAAAAAGCACCCCTAAAGTTATTGGATATGATAAACTGTGTCACATTAGTTAACCTTATCTCAGCTGTATCAGTGAGTTTAATAACAGGATGATGGAACTAGTTTAACGAAAAATCTTTCCCTGAAATAATTAAATCAAGTGTTTATTTATGTAGGTAAAGTATGTTTAACAACCTGTTAAAATACACCAGAATGCAGGAAATGACATCTATTTTGCACAAACTTTTCTGGGGGAGGACCCCCAGACCCCCCAACAGTGTGTCCCCCCACTTTTAAAATGATTCTGATGCCCATGTTTATAAGGTACTCACTGCCTGTATAAGGACATAAGAAAAATGACCAAAACACAAAGATCTAAACTTTCAAATAAAAAAATCATGTAATTTTCCAGGCCACCCCTGTGTGAGTAGTGGTCCCAGTCTTGCCACTCCTGAGGAAAATGTCTGGCCCCGCCACTGATAGTTTGGTGTAAATATGTTCTATAACATACTTTATGTCTTTGCTGCTCAGCATGTTTTTATTATTATTGTTTTGTGAGGTTTTTTTTTCTTCTTAAAGCTGCCGTAGGTAACTCAGATTGAGTAATTTACATTCCCAGATAATGTAGATTAACACTCGGAAGGTTTTGGATTATTTGTGTTCCTTAAGGGAAAAATCAAACACCCTGCATAAAGTAACTGCTTAAATATACTGCTAAGAATTTATTTTCCCACAATAAATTAGTCACG